CCCGAACGGGTGCACGGGAGAACCGCACTAGTCAACGAAGAAGCCAAACAATCGGGGCCAGACCAGACCCGGAAGCAAAACACAATCCAGGGTATGATCCTTTACGTCAGACTGAAGATTTGAACGAGTCTGAGCTGTTACGGGTGCTTCGAAGTCGTGATCCTAGTTTTACTCAGGCAAGGCGTTCACAGATTCCAAAATATAGACGAAAAAGTGGAACCAACGAAGCACGGAAGAAGAACTAAACCGTAAAGTAACAGACAAAGCAACGCACTCGATGAATTCCAAAATAACACGAAAGACTATCGTGCATATGTTTTATCATCGAGTAAACATTTTATTTTATGTTGCTACTGTAAACGTAACAGTACCTAAATAATTTATCACGGAAATATTTCGGTTTGTCCAGAATTCGAATTTCAAACAATCTGATAGTGGATAACTTTTGTTCATTACTCTTAAAATTCATTCATTTTAGCTGGTTTTCCTTGAGAAGCAATCACTATCCTCCTTCCGTCTAAACGAGCACACACTCGCAGAGAATCAGACTCGTACATTCCTCTCATTTTAAGCTCGTGCAGAAGTGCACGTTTGATATTATCATCATTTCTAGTATTTCGTCTATGCTGAACAGGAATACCGAAAAAGGATACCCTTGAGGAATAACGGTACTAGTTTCTAAAGAACTAATTAACTCACCGTAGACCTCTATGCCACCCCCGCTGCGGAGTGTACTGCTAGCCTAATCTGATCCCATTGTTCATCTACAATTCCACGCAGAAGCGCGTTTCACTTTTTCCTTAGTTCTGATTCAAAGTGGCTGGGTCAAATAAGCGATATTTTGCGCAACGAATCTGGTGGGTTTCTCTGCACCCAGTGAGTGAGACAGGAACTGCAACAAAACTAGGGCTTGGTCAGATTTAACGCAGATGGTCCAATAGGACTTGCAATTTTGCACTGAGCCGCGCCTACGATAGAGTGCTGTTATGTGGTAGATTTAAGTTAGCGTACCAGTTGAAATGGAGCGCCACGTTGCCGTCTATTGAGAACTGTGTCGGAGGTTTGTACTGGATAGTAACAGATGATGATCTGTGCCTAACTGAAGAAGTCAATCGCCGGCAGGGCAGAGAAAAACATTTGTCTAGGCAAGCTTCTGATATGCTGAGTTTTCCAACCTTCGAGCACAACCATATAGGAGCGTCAGCTCCTCCGAATGAGCTCGGCGAGCTTATCGTAGAACTCGTCTCTTTATCCGTCATACATGCAGTCGGTCGGTGCATATGCGAAAATGATAAACAAACACCTTTTGGTGTTGCTTCCGTTTCGGACGCTGATAGACCATTGGAGCCGCGTTGCACATGATCGACTGGTAATGGAGATCCAATCGATCGAAGTTTCAGCTCTGTTATTGAGTACAATGCATACCCCAAGCCGACAGACTGAACGGGCTTCGTCGACACCTAATGCGCAGAGGAAGTACCTCGAAGATAGATTCGGCCCACTTAAGTGGTTTGTGGTACCAGTATCATGGATATGCGTCTCCGATAGGCAGCAGACATCAGTCCAAAGAGAGTCCATTGTACGCGCCAGATGCGCTTCTTAACCTACCTGCATTAGCGTCCTCACGTTGAAGGCCCCCAGATCAAGTGATGGCTTCAGAATCTGCAATCTATTTCGTGATAAACTACGTGCACCGCTGTTTGGCAAGTGACGAACAATATGTCTGGGGGAATCTTACGGGTCGGAAAAAGGGGTATAGGGATAGGGTTAGGTATAGAAGACGAAGAGTTGAACGAAGTTTGGGATGTCTGAGCAGTAGCTCACTCTCTACCCGTCCCACTCGATGAAAGGTCCTGATTATTCCGCGCGACCACGAATGCAGTATAGAATAAGACAGTTTGTGTATACATTTAAGTCTGACGGACGGACACCGCCGGGGTGTCCAGCCACTAAGTAGGAGAGCGATTAGAGTTCTCAACCAATCCTTTAGTTCTAACAAGAACCTGATCGCAAGGTGGAGGCTTATCTACTAGGATCGAATACGCATCCACCAGTGTACTGACTGACAGGCAAACTCGAGTCGAACGTAACCTGGAGACTGAACTCTTCTACCTCAACCCTCTCACCTTCCGGAATGATAAGATCTCCTGGCTCGATAAAAACCATCCCGTGTAGCTCGTTGGGTTAGAGGGTACACAAGCCGTCACACCGCGTCCAGGTGCAGTCTCTTCGCGATCGGCAGGAGGCGTGCATATTATTACTGTGAAACTCAAAAAGGATGAGAATTTCTGACTTAGGTTATATCAGTTGTGATCTTTAACACAGCCCGCTGGTTTCTGTATGCGATAGGAACGAAGGGAGGCAGTAAATAAGCTGATATATTCCATCGGCTGAGAGTGTGCACGAATTAATTTATCGCGAGATAAGCACGCCTATTAATAGGGAAGAGAGAATACATATGTACAGCGAAAGAAATTCAAAAGGATGAACACAAAATAAACTTAACAAAACTCCCGAACGCATTTCATGTGGTTACCTTTGACTGAGAAGTGTTCATTGAGCCCGTAATACTGCAGATTTATCTGATGCGATCTTATTCACTAATATGATCTATTTCTTCACATCACCTACTCGTGCACATATTCCTCTTGCGTTAACCGATTCCGAATTTTCATGTGCCATGATGCATTATTTAGCAGCTTTTACCATATCACCGTGTGAATCATGATGATACCTGACATGCCCCATTTCTTCTGTCCTAGTCTGTTTGTAACTATTAGCTCAACGTGCACTCACTCACAAAACACATCTCGACATATGATTGCCTTCGCCGAATCTATTGTTTAACACCAGGGTCTCACTGGATTAAAACGGCATTAAGGCCGGGAAATGTGAGTGGTGTTTCAGTCACGTAATCCGAGCACTTGACCAAACAATCACCGGGTGGTATGGACAGTAAATAAAACCCTAGTTCAACGTGCATACATCCGTGAAAGGCACCACCGCATTAACAGGAAAAAAAACGAGAGCTTCCTCGTGAGTGTAGTAGGCTGAAAAACAGGAGGGTGTATCAAAAAGTTTTATTAAAATAGGGTTGGTTGCCTGTAATCTCAATACAGGAGGCTAATCAACTATTGTGATGCCGTCGCCCAAAGAACGGAATGAGGACTCTGAGTGATCGACAATGGTAGCCATGGTTGCAATCTAGGTGGAGCATAATCAATACGATTCGATTCTCTGGTGTGGGTGAATAGGTCGTCACGGTGATACAGTTGGCGTTCTCCAAGCAGCGTATACCAAAACCTGTCGCCGACAGGCCAGTTCGAGCTAACCGTTACGCAAAAACTTACCACCGAACCGGAAAATACTTTTCTCTCAATATAAAGTCTACCATTTCTTTGCACTCAGGAGTCGTAAAATTGCTGGCATGTTAGGTTGTAGCCTATGACCATGAACATTGGAGCACATTGTTAGTAGTGTCTCAGTGGAATTCTGGTGATATCATGGAGCGGACGCTCGGTTAATGAATTACCAGCGGATTAGTAACGTAATTCCTGCAAAATTTTCTGGTTAAAGTGCAATCAACTTATGTCACTATATTGATAGAATTTCTGTTAGATGTCAACAGAACATGACCAATGACATTTGATCAGAAAATTACTATTTTCGGTCTACCGACTCTTGGATTTGGGCACCCGTGAAATCCTTCAGCTAAATGAATGTCTCGGAAGTCGCTGACCGCTATCTGTTTGCAAGAGATAACAATGAAAAAAACTGTCATATACAAATAGGGATAATCGAACTGAAATGGTCATATCCACAGTATAATCCCCTTTACGTAATAACTGAACGCATTTTAGTTATTTATGTACGCCTGGGGTGCAATAGAATAATAATAATAGTTAGGCAAATTATTTGAGAACTAAAACATACTGTAGTTGGGCATTGATAACAAAAACTTCGCAGCCACTGAGGAAGGGTTCCCTAGCTGGCTGCTTTAAAAACTTCAAGCAACGCAAAATTATAAANATGGAGAGAGAGAGCACGTTTATTGACTATTCCAGCACAATTCACACGATTCAATTTTTAACTGTTTGCACCCATGTGATTGATTTCTAAGCTTTTCGGTCGGTCGTCGTGCGTAGAAGTCGCTTCGGACAATATTCAGTTTTCAATCAAACACACTTTCTATCCCTAATTCGTTTACCTATGTATGATAAAGTGCAATTCATGCAAAGCTCTATTGGTCCTGCTAAGAGCTGTCGGTATATATCATGTGTTTCTTATAGGTGTTATGAGCAAACCTAGTTGTGAAAAGTCGGTTCTTCAGGAAATGCTCTCGATATATTTTTCCTAACCCACTAGAAACGGATCACATNGATCACATTTGGGAAGCGAATCACAAGCGTTTATGTATAGCCCTGAACCAATCAGATTGTTCGCCGGGCAAAATGAAAGTCTTATAAGGACTAATCACAAAAACACAATTAATGCAGTAAAACAAACGATCAATTCAAACAACACTTCCCAACACATCCTTCTTCTTTTGAAAGTTTTTCGTCGTGATCATCATTGGCATATCTGTTCGCTTCAGGATGGGGATTGCGCTGTCTTGCCCATCGTTAGCATTTTTCACAACAGTTCTTGTGCACTAATTTCGACACTAGCAACAGGCAAATCGCGCAAAATAAAAAAAAACAGATTAATCTACACTGTTATATTGTTCAGCACCACCCATACAGTCCAAGATGGGTTCGATGTTAGTTCTATCATACAACCTTGCTCCTAGTTCTTATAACAAAAGAACAATTAGAAAGATATCAAAGCAAATTATTTTTGAAAAAATGTTAGAAATCTAGGGAAAATGCGGAGTCGGATCGGTAACAAACAGTCCGATACAAGTGATAGAGTGGGACGGGTTTTCCCGAGGGGAAGAGCATATAAGATAAGAGACAGGTATCTCACAATGAGTTGTGCGTAAATGGAAGAACTATGTGTAGTCAACCGGACAAGCAACTCGTCTCGATCGACTTTAAATTACTCATTTGTGTCGTGTGCACGTAGAAATCATTGATTCCTAAGGCAAGTATCAATTGACTTAAACAGGATTGGTTCGAGTCCGCACGGCTAGTGGATAGCATGCGACCGGCCCGGCGTCGTAAAAACCGGGCGTGTTGGACAAAACTTGCATGTGCAGCTTGAAGCTGAGTCCAACCGACCTGGTTTAACTGACCGGTAGTTGGACTGGCCCGGTCTAACCAGGAGCTGGTGGATAGCACCTTGTAGAACCAATGCACACAGGACAAGAGACCGCAAATCACCTGCTGGATTTCCTCGTTGGATGGATCCAAGAGACAACTACAACAAACCGAAAAATGGAGAAAGCGGTAAATAATAAAAACTGCATTCGTTCCAGAGCGGTTAAAAACTGAGTAATTATATGTTTAGATATTATTTATAATAAACGATTTGAAACAAATAACGAAAAGTGCTTGTGCTGCTCGTTTTAGATATCTCAAAGAATGTGCTTTAGGACTAAGAAAATTGGCACAGTTCAGCAAACAAATCACGCACAGCGATAAGAGTCAAATAAAGCTGGGATAGGCTGGAAGTGAATAGGCTCGAAGGGACAATTTTAATGAACTAGCTCCTCGATGACGGTGAAATACCTTAATCGGTACATAGAGACGATTATCGATCTTCAAAAGCACATGTGCTTGGATTGCGGATAGATCAGTCGAGATATTGGGAATCTATGTGTTCAACAATGTCAGAAACATTTGTGCATTTAGATCTTATCCCAGATCGGGCAAGTTTCGTAAACGAACAAACCGATGTTTAACATATCCGCGAAGAAAAGCAGCTTGCATTTGCTCAAGAGCAGAGGTCCACAAACAGTCGGGCTATTTTGCAGTAGGGAATAGTTTTTCTATTCGCATTACGAAGTGAATAGGCTACTTTTTCACCCCCCTTCTTGCTTCCAAAGGCCCCAGTATGATCGGATTGTGACTGGTCACCCTTCCCTCACACCTCGAAAAATACTCCTACACGAGCAAAAGTCTCGGCTAAGGAAGCTCAACTCACTGCCTTACCGATGCGAAAGTGATTTCCCACCAAAGTGAGAGGACGAAAAAACAAAATCCGAGATTATAAACGAGTCGGTGAATCATTGTCCGATCACTTAGAGAAGGTGGGTAAAATTCCTGATTCAAAAATGAACAGGAAGAGGTGTAAAAAACCACAAACACCCACACCTTCATCTTTGTGACAGTGGTCATCGGCTCATTTGGGCACTTTGGACGTTTAACCCCATCCAAAGGACGTATGATCCGAAGAACTGGACACCGGCCCCCAATGGAATGCGAGCTCCGTCCGGCTTTCTAGCCAAAGGGTGAAGACCCCGAGGTTATCCCCTTCCTTGGTCAGGCAACCGGGAAGTAACATGCCCACACAAACTATAAAGACATTCGACAGAGTTTATCTTAATATGTTGTGGTACATATACCAATTCCATATAATTGGTTCCGTGTTGAATATATGTATTCACATATAACTCACAGTTACTTGTGAGTAGTGACATGGTGTAATTGATACTGATTTGAACTGATCATCCTGTTGTTGTCGGGCCAAACTGAACTGATTTATTATCACCAATGAAGACACCCGAATGAATTGGCAATTCGGTTCAGCCTTGCTATAAGCTGGTTGGCACAGCGATGACACATATTCCATTTGATGGGTCCGGAGTTCAAAGCCCGGACGGGACGGTGGACATGAACTATTGATAGGGTCTAATAAAAGCGAAATTCGAGTCCAATACTTTTGAGTGTATGATTGACTGCAAGAACTGAGGATTATGCGTGAGGGGGAAGCCTGAATCATGGTCAGTTGAAAAGAGTATCTCTATTTTTGAGCCATCATCACAATCCACCACCACTTTCTAGAGATCATGTTAATCAGATGTAGAGGAAAAAGCAAAACCACAATCCATTACCCGTTAGTTAGAATCTTGAACTACGTTGGTCATTCTCCTGAACTACAAAAGCACTGAAAAACATTCGATAAACATTTGGCTCATTATGCAGAGTAGATCAGCTGAAAACTCCTAAGACCTGACCAGTATGGGGGCAACATGAGAGGAAAGTCCATTCGTAGCCAAATGAGGATGAGCTATATCGGAAAGTATTGATGCTTGGGTGTTTTATGTAAGAAAAATATGAATTTTGATACAGTGTGCTATTGTTCAAAACAGTAAAAAGATTAAGAGAAACAATGATTTGGTGTAATGAAAACTGACTCAATAACGCCCAAAATGGTGACCAGGAATCATAGATTTACTATTTCGTTGTCAACTTTGTATCACGAAAACACGAGAAAATAATTATTGAAATGAAAAGGTTGCAGTAATCGAGTGGAACTCTTACCCGCGTACAACTTCCTCCACATAGGCCTCGTGGACTTGAATCAGTTGATCCAAATTTGTTACAACTGTATTCTGACTGGACAGTTCGAAATTCTCCGGGTTAGAACCAGTTAACCGTTTGACGAATTTAGACCAGCTCGCTTTGACCGCCTGATTTACCAGATAGGTTTCTATACCCCGAACGACTTGATTCATTTCATGTAACCACACACTTGTTTGATGAAACTGAAAATCAGATTGTCCGACTGGAAGGGCGGGTCGTCGGGGATCATTTGGTGTCGACCCGAGTACGCGCCGTCCTCGCAACTGATGGTAGCAGGAGTTCAAAGACCAAATGGCAAACCTGACACGGACCAATTGACAAAATACACGATTATATTTGCGTAACACCGTCTGGTGGAGGATAATATTTATGGGCCATGGGGCCAAATATCGCACGGACAAATGGTCAAAAGCCGGTGCGCGTCGTGGATCGACCACGCTGTCTTCGTCCACGTTTGTACCCGACACCGCCAGAAAGTCTATTGGACAAACTATAGAGAAACAAGTCCGGGAATGATCCTCCCACATGTGATTCAGAGTAAAATCTTCATCGGAGTCTGAGGACTTATTGTGCACTTGACGGGTAAACTTGCGCAAGACGCTTTGCATCAAGTCACGCAGAAACCCGGAGTTGTATACATCGGATCTTCTCGATAAAGGACCATCAGCCTGCAGGAGAAAAGGTATATCTATAAGAAGCAGTGTTCATAACAGAGTTCAGTGAAGATGTATCACGTCAGAAACCATACATTTGACAATATAAAATTAAATTATTACTAAACTATCTCAAATTCTAAAATACCGTGGGCACAACAGACGTGGACTCTTAATCCGGAAGATGGTTAGTTTGATCGACTGGACAAATAGGGCTCCAAAAAAAACTACGGGTTTAAAGCACCAGCTCACAGCCAAGTCCGTTCAGCTGCTCTACGGAATTTCCGGTCGTAGATCCATCAATTCAACCTATACATTGGTTTGAGCGGCCGAGTGTTTCAACAAAATGAAACAGGGATATCAGCAGGAAAAGGAGCACGATCTTTGTCATTATTCCTTTGTGCTTCTCTCAGCTTCTGTTGGCACTTTGCATGTTTCGTTGCCATCCGACTTCGGTGGTAGGCAGTTTTGCTGTGGTCCGGCTCAATAAAGCGGCTATAAAATTTGCTGTTCTGTACACAATTGTAATAAAAAATCTTTCACAGATAATTTCAATCGACAATGACAAAAAAACTGCAAACAATTCACGCGTGACACTGTGACTCATCTAAAAATAATCTCCTTTGTATTGTATTATAGATAACTTGTGCAGTCGGCGGTGCCCACATTTCAGTTAAAAATGTGTTCACCGTTGCAGTGGGATAAAAAATGAAATGAAAATATAATAATAATATAATATAATAATAATATAAAACTTAATTAGGTGTATATCTTTGTAAGTTTAAAATTAGTTCGTTACGGATCCTCACCGTGTCAATGAGAATACGAGCCAAATAGGGAACCATTGAGTTGCGGTAAATTTTTATGTGGGAGGGTAAGCAGCGAAAATTGGATCGGGTTGAAGCGTGGAAACGGCAAGCAGATAAATCGGGATTGAGTGGACGACTGGGGTCATTGAGTATCTTTTGAGCGAAGTTCTCACATGAAGTGATATACAAATTACACAACTTTGAGATCAGAGCGTTTAAAGGAATAAGAGAAAGACAGTTGATGATCGGCGAGCCGCGACGTAGAGTAATAAGGCCCTTTCTAAGTGGACCAGGGAAAATAACGGGCGAACAACGGGAAAAATGCATTGGTAAACAAAGAAACAGTTTCATATCTGACGCGAAATTGTCATAGCTTGCGTATTCACTACACTGTATAATTTCTGCTAGACGGACTCTTGTTACGCGAGGGAAATGGCAATTGACTTTTCAGTCACATATATATGGTAAAACCATGAGAAAGACAAGGTCAGTGTTATGATGTTTGAACGGTATGTCCACACGGAAAACTGATGCATTTACCTAAATTACTGCATCAGTATACTACTTACTTTGGCGAATAACTCGTCCAACAACGACTGCGAGAATTCTCCGTGTTCTAGGAAGTATAACTGTCGCAGGCAATGGAAATGATCCATAAGATGCAGTTCATATAGGAAGTGATTGCACACAGCTCGGTCCACTTCACGAAAGCTGCACACAAACAGTTCACAAATGAGGAAGCAAACATTCGGTTGTGCTAAGTTTCCAGGAGTTTTCAGTAAAAAGTAGTACGCTTATACTGTATTATGTAATAGAAACAGAAGTGAGTCTACTAGAGCAGGAATTTAATGGTTTCAGAACCAAGAAGAGAAGTATAATGAACAGGTGACTAAGGTACAAACTAATACCTTGTTTTATACATTATGAAACACTTCAAAATATGTTCATCGCTTTTCGAAATTCCATGTTTTCATCTACTGAGACCAGCTTTGGGAGAACCCACAAAACTTAATAAAATTACTGAAATCGTTTTGTTAAAAAGTATACTCATTCCCAAAGGTTGGTAAACTATGATGGAGTACAGTGAATAACTGTGTTGAAATCCATTACTACTGATGATTCTATGGTGATACGACTGAACTGTTCCCAAAATCAGGCTGAAACCTGGGTGTATGCCAAGCAATTTCCGTAGTCACTGGTTATTAGTCGAGAATAGATAAAAGCGAACGTAGGACTGGTTCGGATTTAAATGTGAGTGAGGTGTTGGGGAAAATGCAATCGTGTAAAGTGGAGAAACCACACGGCACAAAATCTCGAATAACTACCAATCACTCGTGTGGCCTGGTCGGAAATCTTCTAATTGATTGCAACCATGAGTGGAATGTACAATGACGCACCGAAACATAAAGACCACTGAAATAAAATAGTTTCCTCTTTGCTTAGCCAGGGAAACATTTATAAATAGAATCAGACAGAGGTGGGCGAGTTTATTGGGTCGTGCATACACCAACAAAGATGGACGCGAATGACACCTACAGTTTAGTTCAGTTCATTTAGTACCACCATTATCCATGCACATTCGTGCGGCGGTTTTCGTTGCTGTCTTCTGGCTGCCCGTTTGAATGAGGAATAGGAGAACGACAGGAAAGTTGAAAGTAGAGTCGAATTGAAAATGGGGAATTTCAGTGGCCTAGGAGTGAAAAGAAACTGAGAAGATGCACGAACGCCATTGTTTACGACATTCAGCCATATTAATCAGTGTCTCTAACCACCGGTTACGATCATCCCGAGGCTTTCATCCATCTACCATCCGCACATGGGCCATATCATTTAGGCAAACAAGTTCAAGACTATGTGAACAACTATTTTCCAAATGATCCATAGTTCTAATAAAACTTATGAGACAGAAAAAATTCTTGCTTACATTCTTTACATGATGCTCGGTAATTTAACAAGACAATTTTCACAAACTTCATCCAGTATTCAAGCTTTTAAAGAAAGATGCATTAAGGTTACTGAATGATCTGGGAAAAAGGATTTGAAAAGCCTAAGAAACAAAGATAGCTTAGAGGAAACTTCGGTAATCCTCATTCTTTGGTCCAGCAAAACAAACTTACTATGCGAGCAAAGGACAAAGGACTACTCTATTCAACAACACCTGAATAGGTATCCGATTCAAATCGATTGTGGTATCCGAGTTGAGCTGAGCGTTTGCCACAGAATTTTTGCAACCAATGAGATGACCATAAGGGTTTGCCAATGGCGGGTTAGCTATAATTATCAAACAAACAAAAAAGCATTATTTAAACGAAGTCTAGAATAATGGAGCATAACTGAAAAAGACTAACCTTTTGATTATGCATGGAAGTATATATATATATATATATATATATATATATACATAACAATATTTATGTTGCGCTTGTTTCGAAACGGACTTTCTTCCTGGCATATATTCCGGCAGCGCAGAATGACGAAAAAGTGGCCTCTTGTTGGGAGGGCAAACCGATCAGTGCAACAGATTCACTGGACCTAATTGGGCTTCTTGGTTTGAGCTCAGTGATCCGATTGACGTCTCCTTCCGATCCAGAAGAAATGTTTCAACTGCGCGTTTCCGGGGACACTTGCATCAGCGCCTGGTCAAACAGGCGTTGATATTGCCTTAAGCGTCAAAGGCTCAATTAAAGTCAAAAAGCAGAAACCAAACGAACGGTGTTTATTCGTGGTTTCTGCTCAAGCACTCATAGACTGCAGCCCGGATACACGTGTCTCCTATCACTACCAACATGAGCTTTCTCTCAAAGCACCTAAAACGGATATCGTGATCGTGGCCGGAGACCTAAACATACATTCTGGTCGTCTGTCACCCGATGAGACCCATCTTGAGGGCCATCATGGTTTTGATAGCTGTCGTTCCGATAATGTGGATGAACTTCTTAGTATATGCTCAGAACACGATCTGTTACTCGTTAGCATGAAACTCAGACACTCTAAGCGTCACCTAGCCACATGGCGTAACCCCTCTTCGGCTCAGACGTGGAGTCAGACTGATCATATAATTATCAGCTGTTGATGAAGAGCGTGTGAAAGACTGCCGTTCGCATTGGTTTACCCGCTTGGACTTCGACCACGCAGCGGATTGTGCCAAGTTTTCTATGTGATTTAGTGACCGCAAAAAATGAGATGCAAACAGCTTGACATTGCGAAGCTTTCCGTTCCGGCCGTGCTGAACGACTACTAAAACGAGTTGGCCGCGAAAGTAACTTCCACCCCTTTAAGGGGTGTATATCAACACTGGAAAACCACTCTAAACGAAATGCACTCAGTTA